TTCATCTAGTATTCCTTAAAGACTTGGAACGATTATTCAAGGTGACAGATGTGGAGCTCTGCTTTCAGTGATTTACCAGCATGTCATCAATATATTCCTCCATTGATGTTGTAATTTATTTTTGGAACATTCGATTTACCAAGCGCTGGTAAGTGGCTCTAGCATTCTTTAGACCAAAGGGCATGACCTGGTAGCAATATGTCCCCTGCTCAGTTACGAAGGAGGTCTTCTCTTGGTCACTGGGGTCCATTCTGATTTAATTATACCCAGAGAAAGCATCTATAAAGCTAAGGAGCTCATGCCCAGCTGTGACATCCACAATCACGTCAATCTGTGGTAAGGAAAAATTGTCCTTAGGACAAGCTCAGTTGAGATCAGTAAATTCAATGCAGAGGTGCCCCTTGTCATTGGTCTTTTTGATGAGAACCACATTTACTATTCAGGTTTGGTAATCTATCTCCCTGATGGCTTTGGCATGGAGAAGTTTGCATTGATTGCCTTTTGGCGGTCTAGGCAAAACTCTTTCATTTCTGTTTGATGGGTTTATAGGCTAGTTTCACACTGAGTTTGTATGTGATGACTGAGGAGTCAATTTCTTTCATATCTTTTTATTTCCTGGCAAACACTTTCATATTTTTTCTAAGGAATTGGATTAGAAGGTTTTTAATTCCTTGTTTAACTTAGATCCCACGTATACCAGATGCTTTGGCTTTTCATCAAGTGGATAGGCTCTAGCTCTTCTGATGGCGCTGGCCTAGTTTCCAACTCATCCCTCATGTCAAGCTTGTCCAGTTGGATATTTTTGACCTCTTTCTTTTTCATGGAGGCCATGTAGCACTCCCATGCCATATGCTTGTCTCCTTGGACTACTCCAATTTTGTTTTCCATAGAGAACTTCATGAAAAGATGGTAGGTAGAAGGGATGACCCTTATGGCATTGAGGGAAGGTCTTCCAAGCAGGATGTTGTATATTGAAGGTGCATCGAGCATTAGGAACCTTACAATGGTGGTGGTCTAGTAAGGAGGATCTCTTATAGTGAGCATGACCTAGATTGATCCTAGGGGTAGCACCTTTTTCCCTAAGAACCCTAATAGGTGAGCGCTTACTGGCTCAAGCTTTTCCCTACCTATATCCATCTTGTCGAAAGCAGACGCAAAGACGATGTCAGCAGAGCTCCCGTTGTCAATCAGGACTCTATGGACGGTTCTGTTTTGCGATAATGACTCTTACCACCAGGGGGGCATTATGAGGATGCTTGTAGCCTTCCAAGTCTGAGTCTGAGAAAGTGATATCCATGTTTAGCTGAGGTGTCTTGGACACGGTATACACTTCCAGTATTTCATCAGTTCTGATTTTGCACATGTGACCTTCCTGGCTGAGCTGGAGTCTCTGCCTCCTGAGAATCCTTCGGATATCACTCTGATCTCCCCCAGAGGTTGTTGATATTGTGTAGGTACCTGATGCTGAGGTGCTGAAGGTGGTGGAGCTCAGTTCTGATTGTCATGCACCATAAAGCGGCGCAACTTTCCTCGTTGAATTAGGAACTTATTTTTTTTCATTTAGATGCAATCATTTGTGAGGTGGTTGTGGTCCCTATAGTATTTGCAGTACTTTGTCGGCTGGGTCTGCCTTCATTCGAGGTGGCCACCTTAGAAATTTCTCATTCTGCACTTTGTAAAGGATCTAGGATACTGTTGCTATTAGTGGGGTGAACTGCCAAGGTGCATACCTTGGCTACAACTCTGGATGTGGAGGGCCTAGGTGATCTCTGACATCTCTCCTTCTTTTGGGGGTAACGATCCCTATCTCTTTTCAGAGACCTATCTCGTTCTTTTTCTTTTTTGGGACTTTGGTCACTCTTCCTTCCCTATCTCCTTCTGCATGGATGAGATCCCCTACCTTAGAAAGGAGACTTTCTTCACCTTCAATATACTTTTCTGCCTTGGCTAACACTTCCACCATTCTCACTTGTGGGTTTTTTGATATAGAGAACATCAAGTCCTTTGACTGCACTCCTAACCCAGTGATAAAAGCCGTGATGGCAAATTTTTCATCTGGAACGTCAACCTTCAGTGATTCTGAGTTAACCTCTAGACATAAGACTGTAGGTTCTCGTTGGGCCCTTGTTTCATATTCAATAGATGATAGCTCAGTTTTTGATAGGTCCAGAGTCCTATGAAGTGTGACACAAAGGATATGGAGAGCTCCTTGAGGAGGAGATAGATGTGAGGGCTAGCTTGTTGAACCACGCTAAGGCTGGGCCTTTTAACGTAATGGCGAAGGTGCAACATCGCACATGATCTTGATATCTGTGCAATTTCATTTGGTTCTTGTAGGTGTTTAGGTGATCCATGAGATCTTTTATCCCATCAAAGGCCTCTATCTGGGGCATTCTAAACTGTGGTAGGAGGGGAAGTGTAGCACATCTACAGTAAAAAGGGGACTCAGTCTGCTGGATCAAGGCATTCATAGTTATTGGGGTCTTGTCTCTCATAACTTCCTTCATGTGGTTGAGCTTCTATTGGATATCATTTAAACGTTGTTCTCAATACTACTCTCTTTTTTCCTACAAGAAAGGGAGAAACTAGTTTTTCTTAGTTCCCACGTTCTACCTTTGCACATCTTCGTTATCACCATTCCTGGGGGGTGGATGGGGAGCATTGCCCATGGCTTGGCTATTTTCACCCATTCGTTAATCTCCCTTAGGGGATCGAGACATTGATGCTCCCTTTGTGGGGGATCATTGGGATTATCCTGGGTTGGTCGTGCCTTCTGAGGACGTTGTAAGAGCTTCAAGAGCTTCTCTTTCTGTTGTAATAGATGCTGGTTGACTAGGCAGAGAGCCTCTAGTTTGTTATTCGATGGGAGATCCGCCATGGGAGGATTGGTCTCTGTGATGAAAAATAAGTCTTGGAGATTTTCTTGTTGCCTTCCCACTAGTGGCTTCCTGTTGGTTCTACATCCGTAGGGAATTTATTTGGCTTCTGCTCATGTTGCGTGTAGAGACTATTAATTACTGAAAGATATTAGTGTATTTGTAATAGGAACAGTCGTTCCCACAGACGGCGACAAACTGTTGGTGTGTGAAACGTGATCGAGCAGATTTCGTGTGCTAGTGGATTCGATCTAAGCTACAAGGTTCTTGGGAATATTGTGGTAAACCGGGGGTAAGAGATGGAATACGCAGGAGAGTTATAGTGGTTCACCAGCTTGAGAGCTCAGATAATCCACTCTTCAATGGAGTTTCTTACTCCTTAAATCTTTATTGATAATTATGATAAGATCACACAGTGTTCTCTTTGCCTCTAAGTGAGGGCTTAGTATAATATTTATGGTCTAGTTCTTAGTTCTATGGGATCTATGGTGAGATCTTCGCCTTCCTTTCGTTATACCCCACTTGTTTTTTTGCAAAAGTTCAGGTGGTTGAAGATCTTGCGCTTAGATTGGCATTTACTGCCATTGAGGGGACACATTGTGATTGTCAGCTGTCTTCCACTCATCTTCTTCGAGGTGCAGGTCGAGGGAGCCCTAAATCTGGACCTCTGAGCTCAGGCTCTATTGGTTGAGCTCCCTTCCTGACCTCACCTCTCAAACTCAAATTTGAAATTTCTTCTAGGTATCATAAAAAAGTATAAAATAAAATATTTGAAATCTTTTAGAGTGTAAAGTGTAATTCGTCCTAAAATAAAAGGGAAAAGAGAGAAAGAATTGCACTTCGAGGGAGAGTTAAATAAAACCTCCATGCTTTGTACCAAGTACACCAATAACACTCCTAAAGTTTCATTTTTTTTTCCTAGCTTTGCAATGCTTACAATAATTTGTATACTAAATCAGTGTTGATGGTTGAATTAGTGAGTCTCATTCACTCCTCCTAAGCATTAAATACATAGAATTTCACCATATCATTTGAGATACAACATTTGATAAATTATGTATAACTTTATTGTTTTCTCCCCTTTCGTTTACCACCAACCCGCCATCCTATTCCACCCCTGTTCCCCCCGAAAAAAAAGAATAAAAACCTAGTACAAAAACACATCTGTTTCTCGATGTCCAAATTTAGTATAATACTTGATAGTTGAGAATGGTCGTGAGTGAATGACACTATGTTTAGGTGAATTGGTGTAATTAACCCAAAAGATAAAAAAGAAAAAGAAAAACAGAGATTCACTTCATCATATTTTTCAATATTTATAATTTAATAAAAAGCCTAAAAGTATCGAACCGAAAACTACCCATTTCACAAATATGAGGGTATTTAGTAGAATACCTGATAGTTTAACATGATTATGTGTGGAATACTTTAAATTTGAAACGGTTTTGTATTCATAAGAAATAATTTTTTTTTGATTTAAATTTATAAATGAGTTTACCAAACAGACGTTTGGATTGTCTATATTCAAATTAAAAATGTTTAGATTTATAATTTATTTCTATTATTATTTGAACTATCTAAAATGTACATAAGCTAACTCAGACAATCTTTTTCGTTGAAAAAAAAAAAAAAAAGGCGTTCACTTTTCTGCATTTTCCAGTATGTTCATTTTTAACCCAATAGAGCCTAGACGGAGCATTCATTACTGTTAAATCCATATAGTTTTGGACACCTAATTACTCTATTCCAAGGCCTTGCACCGAAAACCAGTGCACGGAAGCTTCTTCCCACTTTGAACAGTTACAAACTTCAACAGAACCACCAAGCCTCCCTCCCTCTCTCTCTCTCTCTCTCTCTCTCTCTCTCTCTCTGTGTTAGTTAAACTTTTTATGGCGACAACCCCACCCGTTTCACCTCAACCCGTAGCCGAATATCGCCAGCTCCGAACCCTAATTCACCCATCCCAAACCCCACCTCCTCTCTCTCCTCTTTCTCTTTCCATGGCCACCAGACGCGCCTCCCAAATTCCAGCAACCCGACCTCTTGCCGATCCCACAGCCGCCGGATTATCACCCGGAAGTTGCCGTCTCTCCTGCGCACGACGGCCTCCAGTTCTGGCGATTCATGATCGCTGGCTTCGTCGCCGGCATGGTCGAACACATGGCCATGTTCCCAGTCGACACCATCAAAACCCGTATGCAAGCCCTAGGCTCTTGCCCCATTAAATCAATGGGCATTCGTCAAGCAATCCAATCCATCTTAAACTCGGAAGGCCCTGCCGGACTTTATCGAGGTATTGGTGCCATGGCCCTCGGTGCCGGCCCCGCACACGCCGTGTATTTTTCTGTTTATGAATATTGTAAGAAAACATTTTCCGGTGGGAATCCGAATAATCCGGTGGTGCACGCGGTGTCGGGAGTGTTTGCGACGGTGGCGAGCGATGCCGTATTTACGCCCATGGACGTGGTAAAGCAGAGGTTGCAATTGGGTAATAGTCCGTACAGGGGAGTGTTAGATTGCGTGAGGAGGGTTTTGAGGGAGGAGGGAATTAAGGCCTTTTACGCTTCTTATAAGACCACCGTGATTATGAATGCGCCTTACACGGCCGTGCATTTTGCATCGTACGAGGCAGTCAAAAGGGGGTTGATGGAGGTCTCACCGAAAAGTGCCAGTGATGAAAGGTTGGTTGTTCATGCTACGGCTGGGGCGTTGGCAGCTGTAGTGACAACGCCGTTGGATGCGGTGAAGACTCAATTGCAGTGCCAGGTAAAATTTTCATTGCCAATGCCATGTCGCCGTAGCAGGGGCGGCCTTAGGTAAATGGGGCCTAAGGCAAGATTTCTAAATGAGGCCCTAATATACATGGTATCATATAATTATAGAAATTTTAAAATATATTTATATAAAAATTAATTTTTATCAAGTGCTCTTTTCTATTGCATTAATTATTATACTTATTTTTTCTTCTTCTTCTTCTTTATTTTTTTTAAATAAAATTATTCACTGTAAGATTCCTGTGGGCGTATGCACAATTAAGAAATACTTTGGAAATAAAATAAAAACTCTTCATGATAACTAGTCTCACTAACCTGACATTAAAAAAAATCATTTTCACCACAAATTCAAGTATAAAAACTTATATAATTGTAGGATTATAGAACATAAAGATTTATTTAAACTTCTTGTTAGTCTCAATCATAAAAATTGAATAATTAACTAATGACTATAGAATGGTTGACGAATGAATATGAAAAGTATTAGTAAATTTGTATTAAATAAACCAATGGGCTAAAAAAAGGGTGTAAAATAAAATATTTATTTACAAACCAGTTAAATAAAAATTTTATGAAAAAATTGCACGAAACATAACAAAAAAGAAAAAAATGCATCTTTTTCTTGAATATTGTTAGTTTTGGAAAAAGCCGACAACTATCTTTTTTACAAGTCCAAACCCTGTGATGACATGGAAAGAGAGTGCGCATTTTGAGGCAAAATAAAGTTGATCACTTTGGATCAACATGTTTCTGGGGCTTCTCGGTAAAATTTAGGGTTCTTTGGAAGTCGGTACACCTAATTATACTTATTTGACAAAAAGTACATAGAACAAAATGTTTTAGAAAAAAATACACAGCTAAGTTACAAAGACATAAATATCCATTTTAAGGTTATTTAATTCAAAATCTCTTATTTTTAATGCATCTTGATTCATGTGTGTTTGTTAATACATATAAATACATATTTAATGTATCTTGATTCATATGTATTTATTAATACATGTATATATATATATATATATTTTATATACTTGTTGTTAAATCTCTTATCTTAATTTTGAATTATCCTTAATGTACCTTAATTTATGAGTATTTTTTTTTGGAAAGTGATTTTGTTTTTAAATTATATTTAATGCACCTTAATTCAAACGTTTTTTTTTTTTGAAAAATGGTATTATTTTCAAATTAATTTAATATCCGAATAATGTAATAGTGTAACAATAAGAGTGTAATAAATACACTGTAACAAATCAGTGTTCAGTAGTTTTGTGTATGTGATAACAAATTCAAAACGGAGATATACTATTTTAAATAAAATTATATGAAACTATATATTTTACAAAATATAATAGTATAATATTTTGTGTAAATAGCTTGTTACATTATTATTGTTATATTGTTACACTGTTAGTGTTACATTGTTATTGTTACACTATTACAATATTCGGATATTAAATTAATTTGAAAATAAAATCACTTTCAAAAAAAAATGCATGAATCAATGTGTATTAAAAAATAATTCAAAATTTAAATAAGAGATTTAACAACAAGTATATACATACATACATAAGTATTTATATAAGTGTATGTGTGTGTGTGTATATATATATATATATATATATATTAAAGTTCTCCCATAAAATTAGGAGATGTTTAATGCACCATTTTTTAAAGAAAAGTGGTACATTAAATACACATAGATTAATGGAGGGCAAAAATGTCACAAAAAAAATCAATAAAATTCAAATAATGTACTTAGATACAAATAAGTATCAAAATTAAGGACTTAATTATCCAACATTTTTTTCTATGTACTTTTTGACAATTAAGTCTAATTGGGTGTACCTCCTTCCAATTTTTCCTAAAATTTATCACCTTTTATGGGCTTACTATAGGGCCAAAAAAATCAGTTGAGCCTACTTTAAGCATGAGTGTAAGAATATTTTTGAAGGCGGCCACCTTAGTGGCCTAGCCCTAAGGCTGGCCCTAAGATGCAGGGTACAATTGGAGCTCTGAGTTAACATTACGTGATTCAATCTTATTGCAATTGTTTATGGAGATTTAGCAGTGCTGTAGTCGTACAGAGACAAACATCTATAAGCCCATCCATTTGTTGGTAAAAGATGATCTAATCCATGGTGGTTTGAGTTGAAAATGTTTGTCCATGAACCTTGTTTCTTCTAATAGTTCTATCCAGTTGGTGTGGCATGCAATGAAGTAAATTAGTAGCTAATTACTCTGATGTTTTGATAACACTTGATTATTGACTTATCAATATAAAATAAAGGTGAAATAATAGACAACCCTTAAATAACTGCTGGATTACAATGGGCACCTTGTGGATATTGAAATTATATTGTATCCCATCTTGTTGAGGTTTCTATTCAATGGAATGCCCCTCCATTAATCTATTGTTGGAAAGACTAAAAGTATTTGTTGTCATCATCGTAATCTTTGAAACTCTCAAACACGTGTACATTGTTGAACACACAACCTCCTCACACCATTTGAACCAGCACCATCACTACTCGCTCACTATCCCAGACATATACAACCACCAATTGGCCACCACCACCTTGTTCTTTTCTCTCTCTCGCACTCGTACACATCTTCGAGCACACAAACTTTCATAGTGTCTTACATGAACACACACTTCCAAACACAATATCCATGGCGCCAAGCCTTGGTATCTTTGTATCAGTCTTCCTTCTTTGTAAATTCTCAATCAGATATCTATCTCACCCTTTTGTCATCTCTTTTCATCTCCCATTGTCTTATCCGAAGAAGACACCGGAATCAACTTTTTTTCTTAACTTTGGCTCAGAAGAAGACACATATTTTGTGTGTTGGGTGGGTGCATCTGTGTCACTGAGTGAGAGAGAGGGGGAGAGTGATGGAGAAGAAGAAAGGTGTCTTCATGTAGTTTAAAATTGTTCAATGAAAAATAAATGGTTATTGGATATGGGATGGTTTGGATGCATAAATGAGAGATGGATGAAAAAAATTGAAAAACAATTTTTTTTTTCTAAGCATTAGAAGACAATCTCACATAGGGTGTAGTTTAATTTTAGAAACCACGAGGGTATTCATTGTCAAGGGTAATTTTTCTTAGGGTAAATTGCATCGACACCCCTTGACATTTGATTTTATTGCACAAGCACCCCTTCACATTTCTAAAATTACACTAAGACCCCCACAAAATGAACGTCATTAACGGCACAAATAAAAAGACCATTTTACCCTCACATTAACTACTCATCAAGATCCAAGACCCAAGACCCTTCCTCCCTTCCCCTGAAAGCTGACCCCCCCCCAACACACACTCTCTCTCTCTCCCACGATGAATCAAAGCCCCCAGCAATCGATGATCTCTCTCTCGCTCGATGTATCAGGGCCCCCTAACAATCGGCACCAACACCCAGCAACGTAACCACAACCGCCTTTTTTCACCAGCACCATCACTGCCAGAAATTTAATCAACACCTTTAGTGGCCGACATCCTACCGGAGACAAACAGATCCATCAACACTATTGCCACCCATAAGATTTGATCTCCGATTAGCGCACGAACGAGGGAGAGGCAGTGCAGAGGTGGTGGTTGTAGGTGAATTTTGAATACCCTAGCCTCTGCGATGTAGTGGTGTTGATTGATGATGAGTTTGGTCCAGGTGGTGATTTTAATGGTGGTGGAGGCAGAGGTGGTTTTAATGGGTTGTGGTTTTAGTCTTTCTCTCTCTCTCTTTCTCTGTTGGTGGTGGTGGTGCGTCTGGCTGCGTTTGAAAGTTTTGGTGGGTTTAAGTGGTGGAACCGCTGGTGATGAGTTGTTGGAGTAAGAATTTATATAATTAGATAAATAATAAATAAAAATAAAATTAGTATGGTAAAATTGGAAGGTAATTATTAAGATTTAAAAAAATTTTGATTAATTTTTAAAATGTACTAATAATCCCAAATATTATTTAATAAACAAAAAAATTTTAAAAATTAACTTATCAATGTAATAGATTAGGAAATTAAATATTTCAGTGTTAAATTTTAAATTTTATTTATATATGGAATATAGGAATTAAAAAAAATAAATGAGGTTGTGTAAATTTGTAGGGTAAGAAAAACATTTATTTGAATTCTTAAACTTAATTTTGGAGGGTATTTTTAGTATTTTAGGAATCATTATTGGTGACTTCAACTTTGACTGTGAATAATTCTAACATCTGTTAAGTATTAAATGTCAAGGGAGTTTAGTGTTATTTTTAAAAGGTGAGGGGGTGTTCGTGTAATAAAATCAAATGTTAGGGCGTGTCAGTGTAATTTACCCTATTTCTTGCATTAAATAGATAATTACAGTGAGTGGAGTATTTTGCTCTAAACCATGTTCCAGAAACTTGCCTGCAGAAACATGTTATAAAGTTTATTTTTTCATGGAATTGAGGACAATCAGGCTTTTCGTTCAGAATCAGTTATTGAACACTTAGGGCTTCATGAACTGATTTTTCTGGGAAACAACCAAAGTGATAGTACTCGGATTCTGAATATTTTTTCTCATTCATTTTACAGAATAGTCACAATATGAGGAATTTTTGGTTTCTATTCATGTTTTGTTTAATTGGAAGTGTGATATTTTCTAAGGCCTGGTACTTTTGCAGGTGCTTTTATGCTTTTTACAGCAATTTCTATTGAAAGTATAGGCATACCACCACGAAGCAGATTGTCGTACGTAGACCATATTCTGCATTATGTGGCTTGACCATGACCATTTGAATTAAAAGCAACATGCCAATGGATGATCTGGATGTAACCATTGGTCAAAGTAGAGGTATCATTGCATCACTGGATCCGTGTTTCCTAGTTATAGCGTTAATTGTCCTTTAAAGCCCATTACTCAGTGTAATCCATGTTAATCAGGGTTTGCTAGAAGGATGGATTGGGGTATAGGTGTAACCTTTGGTAATTGGTTATTATTTGCACAACGTTACTGAATTACTGTCTTTGTATTTGAATTCATAACCTTTACCAACGCATCAGACAATGGCCCCCAACTTTTGGTTGTTTTCCATATGCACAAGCTCATCTTACACTCATGGCTGTGCAGGGCGTCTGTGGATGTGACAGATATATAACTGGATCAATTAGGGATGTTCTTCAGACAATAGTTGAGAAAGACGGATACAGCGGGCTCATGAGGGGGTGGATGCCAAGGATGCTCTTCCGTGCTCCTGCTGCTGTAATCTGTTGGTCGACTTATGAAGCTGCAAAATCGTTCTTCCAAGAAATGAACAGTGGCAGCAGGATTAGCAATGTCACCTGAGTGATCTTGAAGAACAGAGACTGTTTTGACTGTTGTATTCATTGGATACCTTGGTGGTGAGCGCGCATTGTAAACAGGCATCTTTCACGCACATGGAGGGTTTAATAGTAATGCCATTGTAAGCAGAGAATTTTAATCACAAACGATGAAATCTATTTGGTTTTAGTGAGAAGCTAATCACAGCAGATTAACCCCTGGCATCGAGGAAAGACGGAAATGCATTGAAATGAAATTCCAAAAGTCATATCTGTTAACTTCATCCCTGGAATTTGGCTTCAGAACAAAAAAAAAAAAAATTGATTTTTTTCTAGTAAGAAGCGTCAATAAGCTGCTCATCATGGCAATGGAAATCTTTGGATTGGCCAATGTATTTTTGACAACTGGACATGCTAGTTCTGGGTATTTATGGGATATTGTTCTATAAATTTAGCAGTGTCAACTAAATCCACTCTCCGTTACTTTTGGGGGAAGTTTGATATTTTTAGAATAGTAGTAGTAGTTAATTGATAATAGTAGATAATTGACAGGGGTTTTGTTAATTTATCCTTCTGTTAATTGTGCGGTGCGGGCTTTCTTTTGACTTCAGTGGTATATTATTATTATCCGCCGCATATTCACCCCGCACCGCAATAAACCTGTGAGCATATTCCTTGCAAACGGACTCTCGATCTCATCTGGGTGGAATCTCTCAAGTCTTAACAAACAATGAACGCTGTGACGAACTCTGCAACAGATTTCATTCCAGGTAACTATCTGATATTTTCCGTATATGATTTAAATTCTTGAAACCGTATTTATGATGTAATGTGTTGTAGAGAACACCGGCGGAAGCGATTCCGATACGAACTCAGACGATGCTCCGGAATACTATCAGCCAATATCCACCGGAGTCCACGATGATGAAGAATTTTCCGATCAACAATCAAACTCAGATCAGATCTCAGTCGACAATGATGATCTCAATGTTCATCACCTGCCAAACGGCTACGCTAGTTGTGTCGAGAATGGAATGTCGTCTCTCGATCTGAGTGATGACGAAGAACAAGGAAGCAGTGATGAGGAGATGGAGAGGATCAGAATAGCATCCGATTCAGCGACACTGAGAGCTTTTAGGGAGGATGAGAGCCGTCGCAACGCGCCGTTGACGGCTGAGAGTACGATGAGAGTCATGGAGGCGATGCGTGGGGTGTCATTCGCTGGATTGGCCCCGGATTGGGCTAACCAAGTCCCTGAGGATCGGTGGATCAATCGACTTCGAAGATTGAGACAACCACCAACTTCTACCAGTACAATTCACGATTGAACTCGGCCAATTAGGACCGTGTCATATTTCTATTTTGATTGTACGAAGGATTGTTGTTCTGACAATGATCTTATATTGTTTGATAAATTGTCTGAATGATCAAATTCTTGTTGCCTTTGTTAGTGATATCAGCCTATATGTCTGAGTTCATTGAGGAATATGCATCAGTGTAAAGACAATCTACGACCTTCCCTCCACCTAGGATTGTTGGCACCTGAACAAGGCATGACCCCCATAGATTCATTGTTTGCCGTGCAATACTTAATATTTAACAGGCGTTATCATTAGAGTAACTTCATGATGCATGGGGTGTCTGGAGGAGCACGACATTTGAAATCTCATGGCTGTGGCGACATTTGAAGCCAAAGTGAATTCAATCATAAGTTGTGAATTACTAACCAAAAGAAATCGAAGTATGAGTTTATTGCTTCAGTTACAAGATTAACCATCAATTTCATATAACGCATTAGCTTCCAAAGTCTTTGATACAAAATTCTTCATTATATTCAAGATTGGAGGTAACAATTGTATTCAAACTTGAAGCTCCGTAAAATGTGTATCCCTGGGCTGGCTCTTAAAGAACAAACCTCTACTTCTTCGACTGAGATGCTAGAGATCAAATCGTTATTAGGAAGACAATAATTGAGCAACGTCAAGTCAACCTCTCAAGCACCAATATTCTTAATGGCAGCACTTTTGTCCATTCTCTTGAATATGCCTGTAATAACCTCTGATAAACAGTTGAAAACAAGCTCAAAATTGATGAACAAGCTCATAAACGTGGGTCAGAAAGAAGACATATATCCATTGGAGTTTCGGATAGGAATAGAAAGAAAACATCCAAGAAAGTGTTAACAAGAAGATTAATTTTTTTTTTTTTAACCTTTCCATGTCCTAGTTCGCAGCTCTTTTTCAACCCTTTGTTTAGGAGAGTCTTCACTGTTGTCTCCCATTGAACAGGAGAAGTCACCTGTGATTTAGGTTGCCAGGAACATAAATATTCCCCGACTATGGTGGGAACTGCAAAGGGGGAGGAAGGGAGGGCGGGGAGCAAAGTCCTTTGTAGCTTACCTCACGTCCCAATATTTTCTTAGTTGTGTCGGGATCTGCAAGTGGTTGCACATCAACATTGGATTTAGCTGGTATCCTTGGAGTTTTGACAGCTCCCAGTCTTTGAGACGGCTGGCTCCATTAAACTAGTGTGGAAAGCACAGGCACAGCTAGACCGACCTGAGAAAGGGAAAATGATGTCATTTGGATGTTGGAAGCATGTTCTCAGTGCGCAAACTGAAGTTTTGTGACAAAGAATGCCATCATTCACGCCTTAAATGATTTCGTCTTTGCTTCTATTGCATCCACTCTTTTCACACCTCCAAATACTGCATAATTCCCTTACCAATATTAAAATGCACTCCATGTTACATCAGCAAGAAAATAAATACCTGATTAGGCTTAATCAATGCGCAAATGAAAATTTTATTTTCTTAAAATATATATAGTCTAGAAACTTACAGGGCATAAGAAATTCGCAAGTTGAACTTTGTTAGCTTTGTCCACGTCTTCATTGGCAGTATCACAAAGCAGTTGTAATTTGTGTGAATCCAGTCCAATGACTCTCACCATGACACTTTCAGCAGCATCTGCAGCTCCCTGCAGTTAACAGTACATAAAAAAGGTAAAGATAAGATAATAATTGAGAGCCACCTGCATAACTTCACCCCTTAGTTTGAGCAGCTTGAGTCCATCCTCAAAGCTAATCATCAAATCAAAACCACAAAAAAGGAGCTTAAAACATGGACCGATGCATGCATCATGTGACACAAAAAAGAAATGTAAATATCTCATCAGCTTTAGTCTCTGTGCAGATTAATACCTATTGTTACTTAACCATTTGCCCCAGACGTCAACATAGAAAGCTGATATGTCTCTACGGTAAATCAGCAGTTCATCTCTTTAGGAAAACATACCTTAAACATCATTCAAACGGTGGAATTGTGAGCATTGACAATGTCATATACTGCCTAACCTCTTAACTGGTTGAGCTTCGCATCTAAACATGCTCAATATGATATTTTAATTTAAATGTCCTGTAATGTCAAGTCATGCAGGATCTAGAATAGTGAGGGTAAGAGTGGAGAAAATTTGACCACTAAATAAATTAGTGAAAGCTTGCCAACATGATACTGTTTGAGTCAATCAGTATCTCATATACCTCCATTATCGCCGATAATAAGAGCTCTTATGGTACTAAATCAAATAACTTACCTGAAAGCTCCAGCAAATGCTAGGCCAGTGTATTACCCAAGGCTTAGACTGCACGTGAAATCTACAGAATCAATTATCTACTGTCCTCCATCGAGAGCACGGAGTATCTACACTGCAGCTAGGCTTGTCATGTAGATAGCTGGCTGAAAGTGAAGAATGATAAAAGTGATTTATATATTGTTGGTTAACCAGGGCCGGAAACACACCACAAACAAGATATGAATCTTTATTTCTATCTGAAAATAAAATACAAGAATTTATACAAAGTTCTCGCAAATGAGATCTCTCCCGAATCTCTCTCTTTGTTTCTGCCTCATTGATCTTGAGCATACTTCTGGCCTTCACTAAGCTTCCTATTTATAGGGAATTTTCTGGCCAAAAAAGTCAAGAAATAAGGGAACCCATTTAACGCACCGGCCAGCTTTGTCAAAAACATTTGGCCATCTAGGCATCAAGCCGTCTATTGAGGTGGCTACTAGAGTGGGCTACTGGAAGGTGGCTACTGCATAGGGTGGCTATGGATATGGGTTTTGGATCCTTCAACTCTCCCCCTCCAAAACCATCGAAATAGAATATAATCAGACATTCATCCCGACTATGTCTATGCACAGTTCAAGCTTCTCCTGAGTAACGACCTTTGTCAAAATGTCTGTTAGATTCTCCTTTGTGTGGATCTTCACTAGTTTCAATAACTATTGCTCCATCACTTCGTGTATCCAATGATAGCAAATATCAATATACTTCGTCCGGGAATGGTACATTGAGTTCTTTCTCAAGTCCAGAGTACTTGACTATCACAATGCACCTTGTATTCCTCCTGTTTAATACCTAGTTCTTGGAGAAACTGCTTTAACCACAACATATCCTTACCAGCTTCCGCTGTAGCAATATCCCCTACCTCTGTCGTGGATAAAGCTATGCACTTCTGCAACCTTGACTCCCATAACACAGCTCCCCCTGCAAAAGTGTAAAGAAATCATGATGTAGATTTTCTATTATCAATATCTCCTACCATTTCTGAATCTATATAGCCTTCCAAAACTGGTTCAACTCCCCTTAACACAAGCATATCTTTGATGTACCCTTAAGGTATCTGAAAATCCACTTGATCGCCTCCGAGTGTTCTTTCCTTGGATTTGAAAAAAATCTACTCACCATGCCCACTGCATGGACAATATCTGGCCTTGTGCACACCATTGCATATATTACACTCCCAACTGCTGAAGAGTAAGGGATCATTGTCATATCTTTTATCTCCTTCTTTGATGAGAGATAGGAATTCTTGCTCAACTTGAAATGATTAGCCAGTGGGATGTTAATTAGCTTGGCAGTATTCCTATTGAACCTTTAGATCACCCGTTCAACGTATTTCTCCTGTGATAGTCACAATTTCTTATTTTTCCTATCACAGACAATCTGCATGCCTAGTATCTGCTGAGTTGGGCCTAAGTCCTTCATGTCAAAGAACATGGACAGTTTCTTCTTCAACTGGCTAATCTTTATGCATCCTTTCGAATGATCAACATGTCACCAACATAAAGCAGGAGTGCAACAAAATTGCCATCCGAGAATCTTTGAACGTAAACACACTGATTTGTAGTAGTCTGCTTGTAGCCTTGACCCACCATAAATGAATAAAATTTCATATACTACTGTCTAGGCGCTTACTTGAGGCCATATAGACTCTTCTTCAACTTGTAGACCAGATCTTCCGATTGTTTCATATAGATTTCTTCATTTAGATCTCCATGAAGAAATGCAGTTTTCACGTTCAAGCTCCAAGTTTAAATTGGCTATTAATCTGAGAATGACTCGAATTGAGGTCATCTTAACAACTACTGAGAAAATCTCATCAAAGTCAATTCCTTTCTTCTGTTGGAATTCTTTAACGACCAAACGAGCCTTATACTTTACCAATTTTCCACTGCTGTCTTTCTTCAACTTGAACACTCATTTATTCCTCAGTGATTTCTTCCCTTTTGGAGGTTTCACAAGCTCATAAGTTTGATTTTTCTTCAAGGAATCCATCTCATCTTGCATGGTTTGCATCCACTTGTCTTTATCCGTATAAGCTTGGGCTTCTTGGAAACTCTCTGGTTCTCCCTCATTAGTAAGCAGAATATAGTCTAACTCTGGATATCTACTCGACAGAATGCGTCCTCTTTCGGATCTTCTTGATTAAGGCTTGTTAGCCATATGAGGTACACAATCCTCTAATTGTTATAATGGTCCTGTAACATCTAGTAGAGGGGTTGTTACTCCCACTGCTCAACACGTTCTTCATCACCTTGTTCTGCTTTATTGCTTCATGCTGCACTTCATCATTATTTGTGGTGAACTGTAATGGTGCAGGGTCTAGAACAATGTCTTGTTCACTGGAATTAGAACTGCTGAGCTTTGTGGAATTTTCAAAGTCCTCATATGCCTGGTTTTCATGAAACACCACATCCTTGCTCCTGATGATCCTTCTGGCCTTTGAGTCCCACAATTTATATCCAAATTCTTCATCTCCGTAGCCTATAAAAATGCACGGGATGGTCTTGGCATCAAGTTTCTGCCTTTGCTCCTCAGATATATGTTCAAATGCTTTGCACCCAAAAATTCTTAAGTGAAAATAGGAGAGATTCCTACCAGAGTACACATTCTCTAGAATATCAAAATTAAATGGTACTAACGATGATCTGTTTATCAGATAAAAAATAGCACAAACAACTTCACACCAGAATGGCTTCAGCAACTTTGCCATACTGAGCATGCATTGGGCTCTGTCCACAATGGCTTGAGTCATCCTCTCTACTACTCCATTGTGTTGTGGGGTACGTCGAACAGTCTTCTCATGTCTAATACCTTAATTTTCACAGTATGTTTCAAATTCTCTAGAAATATATTCACCTCCATTGTCTAT